CGATAGGCATGTAAAGAGGTTCTGAATTTCCTATGGTTTTATGCTATCACTTGCATCATCATTATGTAATCAAATTAATCATTGAATTGCTGAATATTAGGGAGAGTCCCCCCACAAAAGTCTAATCTGGTTGGGAAGAAGACAACCCCAGTTATAATAAAAGATTTAAGTAGCACTTTAAAATAAATAGTAGAAGATGACCTAAAGGAGTGCTTGATAAGTGAATCATACAAACTGTAATTTCTTGTGTAAGGGTACATGGAGAAATACCCAAGCTAGGGTGTTTCAGGAAGGCTTTAGGAAGGAAGTGAGTTTTGAGTGGGTCATGATCTCAGAGGTTGAGTTTTAAGTCTTTCCAGGCAATAGAAAAGGCATGATCAAAAAGGAGGAGGCAGCAAGTCCAGGTGGGTGAGTGAACTAGTTTGGCAGGAGAAGTCATTGGTTGATGGGGTGAGGGTGGGGATAGCAGATAAGTCTGGGAAGGCAGGTTGAAGCCAAATTGTGGCAGGTCTTGAATAAGAATCTATCAGAATTGGGACTCTCTCTCATGCTCAAGGGACACTCACTGAATTTTGAGCAAATAAGTGTTATGATTGAGTTAAAATTTTAAGAATATTAATTTGGTTCTATTTTAAAGGCAAAGTCACAGAACTCAGAGACCATTTAGCTCTAGCCCTTAGTCTCACAGATGAAATACAGGGAGATTAAGAGACTTTTCCTTTCTTTTTTTGAAGATTTTATTTATTTATTTAACAGAGAACGCGAGAGAGTACAAGCAGGGGGACTGGCAGAGGGAGAGGGAGACGGAGAAGCAGGCTTCCCGCTGAGCAGGTCTCCATCCCAGGAGCAGGGAGCCTGATGTGCCCTGAGATCATGACCTGAGCTGAAGGCAGACGCTTAACCGACTGAACCACCCAGGTGCCCCGAGATTAAGAGACTTTTCTAAGAGAGAACCCGTATTTCCTGACTATTAATCTAATTTACTTTCTATGACTTCTAAAATTTAAAAATCTGCCTGGCTCACAGCGTTCTTTGGGAATAGGTTCTTTATGGAAGGCAGCTCTCTAATGAGAAAGGAAGGTTGTGTGTGAGGATGTGTGAGGATTTGTGAGGTATCTGGTCTTCGGTTATACACAGGCAACTAAAGTGACAAAATAATGGTTATACTCTGCTTCCACTCCAATTGGATCCTGGGACTGAAACAAGGAGTATCCAGGTCAAGTTGGTTAGGCAAGAAGAAAGGAAAGGGCAATTCAAGCAGTGTAACCCAATAGAGAGAAAATTGGATGACTAATTAGAAGATTTGGATTCTAGTCCTGGTTAGCAGTGGTCATGGGAGAAGACACACTTCTATTTGTCACATCTCTTCCAAGGTTCAGGTAAATGTTTTTAGCTGATCATTTGGAACTTGCAATGTATTTCCCAAAGAAGTAATGTTATAAAACAGTGGTTAGTTTCTCAGATGATACTCCAGGAATCTATAAAAATTCCATCAGAACTGAAATTAATACATATTGGCAAAGAGAAATAGAAATATTTTTTGCAGCATTAATAAATTAGCAAAACAGATTAGCCAAACTAATTATTGTGGGGTTTTTAAAATGGAAAACATTTAATTAGGAGAGGATATGGAACTGAAGGCTGTGGCGAATATGAAAGAGAATTACTTCTTGGCATTTTCAAGGTAATCTGAGGTTAACAGGCAAGGCTCACAAATGGAAAAGAAGCAAGAGAGAGAAAGGGAAAAAGAAAGCATGAGCTGTATGTGTTTTTAAGGAAGATGATACAAACAGTGTTTCGAGGGTGAAAGAATGGGCCAACCTGGAAAAAGCCAGGAGCGAGATACCACTGTGAAACAAAGGGAGAAATGAAGGAGGGCCCGTGACCAACATACAGGTACAGAGGTGGTAATCTAGACTCCAGGAGATTAGGCCAAACATGGGTCCAGGAAATAAATCTGAGGTAGTGAAGTCCCTGGGGGAAAGGTGGGACAAATGTTCAAAGCAGGGTCAAAGACTCAGGCTATCACCTCCAAATGTGAGGTTCTATCTGGAGTCCAAATTCAGGAAACTCCGAGGCCACACTTTCAGCCAGACCAAAGACACAGTAAGACTCCTTAGCTCCTGGGCCAGAATTGGTTCCAGACTGTTGGTGAAAGCTGGGGTAGGTGGAGAGCACAGTGAGGGGAGGAACTAAGCAAAAAACTCACAGATAGGGAACCAGAGTTAGAGAAGGACAGAAAGAAACAGGTCTTAAAGAAAAAGAAGGGAAGGAGGGAGGATGGGAGGAAGGGAAGAAGGGAAGGAGGGAGGAAGGGAGGAAGAGACAGGTCTCAAGTTGGTGTGCCAGTCCATATGAACACTGAGACAGGATCCTCAGAAGAAAAAAAGCCAGAGCAGGAGGAAATAACGCAGAGGGAGGAAAAGGTGTTCAGAGAGACGACTCTCTAACCACCACCAGGGGGCACCTCCAGTTCCAGGACAGTTTTGTTGATTAACAAGACTGGGCAGTGGTGTGGGGGAGGGAAGAGGACAAAAGAGTAGCCTTCCAACTGAGGGGGGGTTGTAACCAGTACTCAAACGTACTGGGCTAACCACGTCTTCCCACCTTTTGGCTTCCTGGTGCTGTTCACCTTTTAGGCACTATTATTACTTGGCCGGCTGGCAGTGACAATTAAGAGGCAAGGTGAAAAGGTTAAATAACAATAAGAGATACAGGTAAAAAAGAGAAGACAGAGGGAGAACTAGGAAAAAGAAACTGGGGAAAGAACAGTCAGGATATAATGGATTAGAAAGGAACATAAAGAAAAGCAGTAACTGTTTAAAAAAAGAGAGAAGGAAAAGCGCGGCAAGTCAAACTGACCTGTGAGGAAATGAGGAAAGACCAGGAGAAAGTTCCGAAAACAGCTAATTCAGGTTATGTGATTAATTCCACAGTGGCTTGTCACCCCTTTCACATCTCATTTATTAAAAGGATATCTAGAGAAGAGCTGTGCTTTATAAACACACAAAACTGTAACCTTTGCTCTTTGGGAGCATTTAGATATATGCTCATTTTTGTCAAAGATGAAAGAAAGCATATAGTAGAATTTGAGGATGAATTTTAAATCATTAAATAGTTCCAGGGAATAAAAGAACAAAACTGCATAACTTTTGGGCCATTTCTAAGCCAGGAAGGAGTTGGGGAGCCAGTGTTAGAAGTATTTTGACTCATGAAAGATACATTTAAATATATTTTCTTTAAGAATTTTTTTTTTCTTAAATGCTGCTTTTTGAAAACAACAGGTTATTAAAATGACCAGAATAAAGTGAGGAGGGGGTGGGGGAGAATTTCCAGACCGCCCACTCCAACATCTATCACATAAATTCTTTCATGATTTTTCTCCCGATTTTGCACTGCTCAGGGCTTAGAAGAGGATCTTTGATTTAGCCACTGTACACTTTATGACTGTGCCTGTCACTCAATAAGTACTTGGCTACTTTAGGGGAAACGTCAGGGGTAGTGTTTCCTGAGAGGTGGATAAAGAACCCAGCTAAGGCCCTCAGAGATTGAGAAGAATCCAGTAGTAAAAACGTAATTGCAGTGACCGATACAAATATCTGGCCATTCATTGTAGGTTCTGTACACTTCTAGTCTGTCTTTGAGGTGTTTTTTTCTTCCTTCGGACTTAGCAGAATTGTAACGTACTACATAATTTAGTATTTCGAAAGCACACGCCTCCACACTCCTCTCCTAGATAGAGTACAATCCCTGAGCCTGGCATGCAGATCTCCACCCCTGCCAGAGTACACTCCTCAGACTATCTCCCGTTTCCCATCCCCCCAGCTTTCGAACTACATTGTGCGCACTCGTCCTGGCAGCTTTTCTGCAGCCAGGGCAGTTGCAGGGCTCCAAGCTCGTCTTCTCTAGGGCGGTCACACGTGTCCATTCCCTGGGGTGGATGGGTGGGGGTGTCGCTCTTCGCGCACGGCTGCTGATTGGTGCCTCCCCCTACCCCACCCTTCCCGCCGCACTCCAGCCTCCATCCTACTTGGTTCCAGCTTAACCAGCCCCACCACCTTCTTTCCTTGGAGAAAAGAGCCACTTTAGAGCTCCTTGAAACACCGTTCTTGGATGGAATAAAAGTGTTTGAGAACAGGTGGAAATTACTTTATTTCATCAGGCCTCATATTTCTGGGGTGCACAACCCACTGGTCCTCCGGTGCTACCCTCAGCACCAATAATAACTGAACTCTTACACGTGCGTGTTTCTGGATCTAGCCCCTACCGAAAGCACCACCCAGCGGGCTCTTTAAAAGGACGCGACCACTAAGGCCAAGTGGGGGGTGGGAGAGACCCTTATTGTCCTCATTGGTCCAAGTCATTAAACTCCTCAGTCCCAAACACCTGGAAAGCGGAGTGAGTCCCAGGGCAGTTCATGGGGTGCGCCTCGCTCCTTTCAAGTCACACTCCTCTTCTTTCTTGGGGTGCTCAGTTCCCTCTCCCCTCCCCCTCTCTTCCAATGCAGCTGTCCGGACTGGGGGTGGGGAGTGGGGGCGGGGGTTGTTGTTGTGGTGAGGGCAGCCCCGCCCCCTCCTCGTGGGCGGCCCCTCCCCCAGGCCCTCTGTTCGGCTCCCTCCCCCCGCCCCCCCAGCCCCATCTGTTTTCCCCAGCGGTGAGATGATTATATTGTATGGTACTGGGGGCGGCCGCAGCCGCAGCCGCAGGATGGGGCGAGCGCGCGGACCCCGTAGGCAGCCGGAGCAGCAGCCGCCTCAGTAACTCGGGCCCCCGAGCCGCCGCCCCCCGCCCGGGTCGCCCGCCCTCAGCTCATGCATTCGCCGAGCGGCGGCAGCAGCGGGAGTAGCCGCCGCCGCCGCCACCCCCGCCCGAGGAACTGAGGCACTGAGGCGCTGCGCCGCGGCGGGAGTCTGAGGCGGGCGGGCGAGCGGTGCGCGGGCAGCGTGGGGCCGCCGAGGCGCGCTTAGGTTCGGGGCGGCCGCCACCGCCGCGCCTGGGAGATGTGCCCGGAGGAGGGCGGCGCGGCCGGGCTGGGCGAGCTCCGCTCCTGGTGGGAAGTCCCGGCCATCGCACACTTCTGCTCGCTCTTTCGCACCGCGTTCCGCCTGCCCGACTTTGAGATCGAGGTGAGTGGCCGCGAGGAGCGGGCGAGGTGGCGCACCCTGCGCCCCTTTCTCCCCTGCCCCCTCGGGAAGTCCCGGAGCACCGTGCGGGAGGGAGCGGGGGGGGCACGCGGAGACTTTTGGCTGGTAGTCCGCAGGCAGGGGAAGAGCTCGGAGGTGGGGGCACGAGGCGCTCAAGGGCCGGGGCGCGGGCGGGGGCGACGCCGGGCTCCGCAGGGGACGCTAAGTGCCGGCGTCCGGGCTCGGGACGTTCGCTCGTGGCCGCCGTGCCCACCCGCGCCTTCCGGGGCGAGGCGGAGCGGGCGGCGAGAGGGCGGGGGAGAGTGCGCTTTTGTACGAGTGGGACCGGGTCGGCTCTCCCGGGACTTCTCGGGCAGGAGGCTGAGTGTGTGGGGAGAGTGTGTGCGCGCGCTCCCTGCCCGGTGCCATTGAAGCGGCGAGCCAGCTGCTCCGGGCGGGGACGGGGTGCGAGCTGGATTAATTCGAACCGGGCCGGGAGGCGGCCTGCGGCTGGTTGGGGGAGGGGTCTGTCGTGCCGGGGAGAGGCTCGCCCCCACTTCCGCGGTTGCGTGGAGGGGGAATCGCACTTTGCAGACTGCCAAAGGCCCGCGACTCTCGGGGGCGCTTTGGGTTAACTTCGGGCCGGCGGAGATGGGGGCCTGGGCTCGGGGGGCGCGCTCTCCTCCGGGGAGCCGCCCGGCGCTCAGCCCATGCTCGGGGCTCCGAGGATGCAGAGGGAAAGTTTAGGACTCCGTTATTCTTTAACAGCGCCTTTCCTCGGAACGTACAGCTCTCTTTATGCGGGGACCTCGGGAGCTCTTTGAGTTGATTTCGCCACCATTATCCCTCCGGGCGGGCGTGGAGTAAAGGGATGGCTTTTCTGGCCAGGCAGAAGGTGCTTTCAAACCCGGCGCTTTGTGATAACCGGACTAAAATCAGGGGGTCCTAGTAGCAGGGATGGTGGCGGGAGTGTGAGGAATGGAATGTACACGACGGCGGCCCAGACGAGCAGCCAGCCCTTAACCAGCATCCGCCGTCCTTTCTTTTATTTTTATTTTTGGAAGGGGGTGTGAAATATTTGATTGGTTGGCAGGTTGAATTGCTTGCCCTCCTTTGGCAATATATATGTAGTGGACTTAACACCTTTTGCCTTGGACAAAGGTAAAAGGGAAACTGTTGGTCAGTTTTTCTTTTCAGTTCTGCCAATGAGTTCGCCAATGGAGTAATCAAAATAAGAATTACTCTTTTGGAGGAGCAAATCGTTGTTGTTGCCTCCCCACCCCCCACCTATCCTACTTTCTGCCATTTTCGGATTGATTTTAATTCGTTTATTCCTAGGTTATTTGCCTCACCTTTATTTTTAGATTCATTGTTGTTTGCGGAAATATTTGCTTCTCATATGAATGAAGTGTTGGAACTTGCTCTTGTTGCAGAGTTAAATGAAATTGAGAAAATAAAAAGATCAAATAGAGGTACGGTGGGAGAATGAAGCAAAATGTAGGCTGATAAAGTCGGACCACTCTCTGGCTTTTGGCGATTCTTAGTTCCTGAAAAAACAATGTGATTAAATCTTAGGCTTCTGTTTTTAGAAAGATGTAATAACTTGGGCATTTTAGATAGCACATAGCGTTTGCTTTCAAAGTTTGAACGTAATTGTAACAAGCATGATCTTTACTAAAAATGTTAGTAGGATAACTGTTTTTATTGATGAAGAAGAGAAAGGGCCACAAAAACGAAAGATTTGGGAATGCTTAAGTTCAAGAGATGTTTGACAGTTATTCTGATAATACTGTTTTCTTTTAGTTGGTATAAAATCGTGAGTAGTTTAATTCTGTCCTGCTGCTCAAAATGGTGGCTGTTGTGGGAGGTGTTGCTTGTGACTGTCCCATATGGGGTGCTGGTAAACTTGCCCCCTAGCCCATTTTCTTCCTTGCAAGATAATAAAATTGAGGTGAGTGATGTTGAATTACAAGTTGAGAGCTTAAGGACCATTCTAAAAATACTGTGGAAAAGTATATCTTCCAAAATCCATATATTCCCATTTTGTTGATGGAAAAATAGAGGTAACTAATTGTGCCTTAAATTGTTACAGATCTCTAACTTGTCTTATAATCTAAGAAATAAACTTGTGGTTTTTAAGTATTAGCTGGTATAATTCCTAAAGGAAATGTAAGCTGATCAAAGAGGTTAAATTTGTAGGAATAATAGAAGTGAAAAATCATTGTTACAGGGGAATAATTTGGGCTATTTGAGATGATCTCTCTTTTGATTGGAGTGATTCTTGGAAGTGACACTACTGTTTTTAAACTGCATGCTATTTGAAATACATGCAACACGAATGAATATTTGGACTCCATATGCGCATTTTTATAATTATGCATACTGTTTTTATTAGGAGAAGTTCAGTAGGTAGGTAACAAATGATAGTGACTTTTTAACTTCTGCAGTTCCCAGGTAATCCTCTCAACGTGAGGTTTGTTTTGACATGGTTAATGCAAATTGTAACTTAAAGTTTTCAATAGTTATCGGAAATTAAAATTAGTCTTTTTTAGGCTTCTAACAAATTTGATTCATGACAGTGCAGAACTCACTGAAAACATCAGATTTATATATGTATGTATGTAATCTCTACACCTAATGTGGAGCTCAAACTCACAACACCTAGATCAAGAGTCCCATGGTCCACTGACTGAGCCAGCCAGGCGCCCCTGAAAGCATCAGTTTTCGTTCCAGTATAATTTTTTTTTTTTTCTTAGGTGATTTTTTAATCTAACAGTTTATTGTCCTGACAGTTTGAGAAAAAACCCCTTGGTTAACGAGTCTATGATACAATGGAAGACGTTCCTTAAACAAAACAAACAAAAAACCAATTTTGATGCTGAGTTGTATTTGTGAGGCCAACTGGAAAGGCTCCCACCATCTTAATTTACTGCAACTTTAAAAGGTAAAAATGATGAATAATACCAAGTGGTAGAAGTTGTATATCAGCTTTTTTAGGAAACCAGTTTTCAGCTATACGGAAAGATCTTGTTTTATCCTTGACCACCAAACTGAACTCATGGATTTTTAGAAAATTTAGGAAGTGGAATCCTTAAGGACTTGGCTTCTACTTACCTAGAGTGAAGTAATCTCTTAGGTAGATGAAGGGCTGGGAGGATTCATGCTGCAATTCTGCAAGAGGTCAAGACCTCCCACTTACAGAACTGGTCCCCAAAACATGGATAGTTTTATTTTTGCTTGTAAGAAAACTTTTTACTCTGTTAATCAGCCTTGAATGTACAGGATTTCTTTAGGGATTCTGTAATCATCAGATGGAAAATCTGTGAATGTGTAGATAATGCTTTAAGTTCAGAATTACTGGTTTGAAAAATAATACCGATGTTATATAAACCTTGAAAATTATAGCACAGTGTAGGTAACAGAATTAAAATCACCCATAATTCCACCACTAAGAGATAAAAGCTGTTAACTGTTAACATTGTATCCCTCCACTCAGGGATAAAAACTATTAACTGTTAACATATTTAGAAATTCCCAAATATGCTCACACTGTATTTGTGCCTTAGATTAGGTGCTGTTTTTATTTTTTAGATGAGGAGATTGAAGTAAAGCTGGACAACAGTAGGTTAATGATACTGAATTCATTGGTTGGTATTATTAAGCGCCCCTACTCAACTAGGTGCTTAACTTCCAACTGGGAGATTACTAAAGAAGCTCATAACTCGCCTCCTTTGCGTCAGAAGATTATCTGTTAATATTTCAGAACCATTTCATTTAAATCAAGTATTTTATAATTGTTTAACATTCCAGTGGGTTAGGCTGGTTAAGTTTTTTCCCAATTTGAGAAATGAAGAATGGTGCATTGACCTCTGCAAAGATTTAATGCTGATTTTTTTCCCCCCCTTATCAGGTGCTCCTTATGTATGAATGTAGTGTCTTGATCAAAGTAAGGGGAGGGAGTGTAGAATCATTTTGACAGTCTGGTCTGGAGTTATTCATGATGGGTGTGACGTTCTGGGCAGAAATCCCGTCACAAACATTTTGGGAATATTTTCCTCTAGAGAAGAGACTGGTGCCTCTAGGTGGCTCTTTGAAAATGGTCATGGTAGTTTGTGTATTAGCAGCGTGGTAAAAATAATCTGATTGTCATGTCTACTTTTTTCCCTGAGCTTCTTGCTGTTGAGTACTGAATCCTTTACCACCTGCCTTGGATCTCCTTCCTGGTTGTGGTTGTATGTAGGTAAAGTGTCTCACGTAATGAGCATGATGGTCTGGGGGCAGTATCTTTAATTCAGATTCCTGAATTCCACTCTTGGTGTTTCCTTGGATCCGGTTCCTTTATCAAGGTCACCAAGGCATAAATTTTTATTTTTTTAAGTAACCTCTGTACCCGACATAGGGCTCGAACTCACATCCCCGAGATCAAGAGCCCCATGCTCTACTGACTGAGCCATTCAGGCACCCCAAGGCATAAATTATTGCATGAAAATAAGAAACAAGAATTGCTGAGAGTAACTTATTAGTGCATCAGTCATATCAGCCGTTCTTGAGCCTGGGCCTGTGGATGGGCTATAGGAATGGGCTATTGGAGATTTTGTGTTGGTGTGCATATATGCACTTTGCTGGAAGAGAGGGGCCCGTTGTTTTCATAGAATTCTGAAAGAGGTCCCCAACCGTACAAAGGTTGAAAAGCCTGAACTAGATGAAAGAATAAGTTGACCTTGAATAGGGGAACCAGAAGCCTAGATTTATGACACAAAATGCACTGGATTAGGAGTTAGGAAACTTGAATTCTTACTCTAATTGCGCCACTAACTAGCTCTGTGACCTTGGACAGGTCGGAATAGCCTGATGATAAATGATATTTGCACAGTACTTGGTACATTTTCCAAATGTGGGGAGCCTGCTTCTCCCTCTCCCTCTGCCTGCTGCTCCCCCTGCTTGTGCTCTGTCAAATGAATAAATCTTAAAAAAAAAAAAAGTCTGCATGCTCCACCACTGAG